GCAAATATATATATATATAAAACAAAGTGAATCAAGAGCAAGAGTTACTGTAGAGGAACCCAGAGGAGTCTCAATGATCAGCTTCTCTTTGGTCTTCATTTTGTCTCTTATTTATAAGAATGTATTTAGTACAATTACAGAAATGAAGTAACAATTATGAAAATTGTTCTCAATATGATTTATGCTCTAATAAATTATATGAATGTTATTGCATATATGTATTATAATTTTAATCTTGATATGAGTGGCAATTGGTTGGTTGATTTGCTAGAATGCGACCGAGTGAGACGATCATGCCTTGTGTTTGCTCAACCGTGGCATTTGGTCGAACGACGATATCGCGCGGCACTACAAGAGTAGGTCGGCTATCCAATCGCAGTCAGAGAGTTTCTGTCTGCACTTCTATCGGTCGGTTGGTTGATTGATGTGTCGATTTTTTATTTTGGGTGAACCGTGTCTCCCTTGTCGCTTTGGTTCAAGTTTTTGTGCAAAAAAAAGGTATATATATGAAATTAAAAAGAACGACCGACGACAAAGCGAAAAATAGAACGAGAAAATTCACACCAGAAAATAATAACACAGCGAAACACACAGATTTATGTGGTTCGGTAAATTGTCTACGTCCACGAAGGTGCAAAGGATTTTACTACTTAAGGAATTTACACTAGACGATCGTCTCGAGTTACAAGAAGAATCTCTCACTTCGTTGCTCTCTCTTCTTCTCTCTCTACACCGAGATACACCGAAAAAGATAAACTTATAAGAAAAATAAACCTAATTTCTCTTCTGCCACAGGTCATAAGGAAGAAGCCAAGGGAGAACAATCTTCTTCTTCATTCTACCGCAAGTAACTACTTCTTGTACTTCTCTTTCTATATCCCGAGGAGACCCGAAGAATAACACAAAAGGGTTATGCTTAATCAAAAGCGGCGATCTTCCAAGCCTCCTCAAACCTTGTTCTCTCAAGCCTATACTTCACAGGACAAAAGAGGCGAAGCTCCCATTTTATCGCGACTAAGAGAGGCGCAGAAGCGGGAGCAGTTTCTCTGTTCGCGAATCAGCGCCAGGCGGGAGACGCGACTATTCGCGATCGGGCGTAGGCGAGTGGGAGTCTGTAGCGAGAAGTGGGAGCGGGAGAAATCGGGAGCAGGATTGGGTGGACCGAACCGGGCTCCAGCATTACACAAGTCTTACGGGACCTCGTCCTGTCTACTTAGTCAATTAATCATCTCAGTCGGATACCCCTATTTGGGAAAATATTTCCATACAGAATATGCTCTGAGTGCGTACTCCATTAACCCCACAATACCCCCATAATAATCGATGAATAACATCAAAATAGAACCCGCGAAGGTTATTGAGTTATATGTTACTGAAACTAATACTTCAATAACCTCCAAATAACCGCGAAACAGAGGTTATTGAGGGGTTATTACGCACGCAACTCTGCGTATATGTTCCGTATGGAAATATTTCTCTTTATTTGCAATATCTTGACGTTGTCTGTGTGAGGTATTCAATGAGACATATTGCAATGATGAATTACGTCTTGCCCTTAGCTGATCTTATCGTCATCTGGTGATAGACCATTTCCAGAGCTTTGACCTGACTCGAGTTCAGAACCACGGCTTCACCTGTTTGGCGATGACTTGTCGGCCTAATGTTTACCCTTGAGGGAAGTTTTTTGTTCCTTGGTCGTTCTTTCTATATATATATATATATATATATA